CTTCCCTTTTCTTCTGCTAATACATAGTCTATCACTGAACTCATCCCTGCCCTCTTGAACGTGAATTCCTCTTCCTCGTCCCCTGCAAAATTCCCATTCAAAATTGACCATCCCATTTCATCCAATATTCTTAACAGAGCCTTTCCTCCTTTGCATGCTTCCCTCCCATCCATCGAGTTCCTTTTCCTACTCCTCTCTCCTTCCGCCCCCTCTCCCCCACCTCCTTTACAACCTGTCTTCATATTGAAGTCCCCTCCGATGAGCACCAACTCCTCTGTTCGCTCCTCCATTACCGTTTTTACCCGTTCTAACTTAACCTCCTCATCCTCATTCACATATATACCTATCACCCTCCACCGTCTTTCACCCAACCTAACCGCTCCTTCTATCCACTCCTCCATCCCTTGCTCTATCGTTTCTACTCCCTCCCTACCCTCCTCACATAGCTCTTTCTTCATCCCCATCATCATACCCCCCATCAATCTCCCCTTTTTTTATCCCTTTTACCCACTTGCACCTTCCACCTGAAATCCTCAGGCGCTCGCCTCTTTATCCCCTCTCAACCCTCCAACCACGTCTCTAACAGAATTACCACCTCCCACTCTTTCATTCTCTTCCAAAAATCTGGATCCTTCTTTTTTACTCCTGCTACATTCCAAAACGCCACCTTACTCTTCCCTCTCTTCCTCTCTACGCTCCCCTTATGCTTCCCTTCCGCGTCTTCTACTCTATCTACCTTCCGCTGCCTTCCCCCTCCCCCTCCGCGTCCATTACGTCCTCTTGAGTCTCGTCCTCCACCTTATTTTTTCTCTTCTCCTCGTCCCAAACTTCTCCCCTTCAATTCCTTAACTTCATCATTCTCTCATCCCAAATCCAGAGTCTCCCCTTGACCCACAATCTTCCTCTTCCCACTCCCACTTCCCTTCCCCACCTCAACTCTAAATCCGCCATTCTTTCCAACTCCCATTGTATCCTCCTCTCTTTGAATGTAAGGTCATGTCCTAGCCGTTCCTTTCTCCCCTTCAGCTTTCCCCTACTATCAAAAACTCTCTTTTTTTGGTCCTCACTCTTCAGCCCTACTACTATCGACTCCCCCCCATCCCTATCTTTACCTCCAAATTTCCTCATCCACTGTACCTCTACCTCTACCTCCAGCACCTCCCTCAACCATTTCTCCACTTCCCCTCTCCCATCCTTTGTGTCTAGCCTTACTCTCCTAATTACAAAATTGCTCTTCCTCTTCTCCCTTTCTGCTTTTTTCTCCCTCCATTCTAACTCCTGGACTCTTTTCTCTATGCTCGCGCCTATGCTTCCACGCTCGTTCCTGCCCCCCCATTCCCTCCTCTCTCCTCTCTAACCACTCCTCAACTTTTCTTTCGATCACGTCAACTTTCTCAATCTTTTTTTCTACCCTCTCTAATCTATTTCCCGCTTCCTTTTTCTCCTCCTTTCTTTCCCTCTCCGCCTTCTTCCATTTCTCCTCCGCCTCATTCAATTTTTCCCATATTCTTCCCCTTTCTTCTTCCTATTTCCCTTGCCACATATCTAAACCCTCCTTCATTCTCTGCATTTCTTCTCTCCCCTCCCTCCCTTCAATTTTCAGATCCTCCAGCGCTGCCATGGTATCCCTGCTGAACCGTTCCAGCAACTTCTCCAGCCTGCTCACTCCCCCCTCCCCCATTTGCCCATTACCCTCCTCCTTTTTCTTTTTCTTACTTTCCTCCTCGTCCTCATCGCTTTCCTCTTCCCCCCGCCTCTCTCTTTTCCAATTTTGACCACCGTCCATCCCTCTTCCTACATTACTAACCTCTTCTCGTCCCTTATCTAATTCCATATCCTTCGCTACCTGCATCAGATCCTGTATCGATTCGCATGTCCTTCCCAACTTCTGTCTCTCTATCTTTTCCCTCAACAACCTCTGTGCCATTGGCAGTGCCCCCCTCTTCTTCTTCTTATTAACTTTTCCTTCTCCATCACTTGTTTCCCTCCTTTCCCTGCCCGCGCTATCCGTCTCCTCATCACCCCCTCCTGCCCCTGCCGATTCATAATACGTCTCATCCATACTCAGATTCCCTGATGGCGCGCCTACCCCCTCCCCCGCCACCTCTTCACCATCGACCCCCTTCTCCTCCCGCAACACCTGATCCACCTTATCCTCACCGGATAACGTGAACTTAAAGTAACTCATCATACCGACTCTCCCTCCCTTATCCACCTGTCTATCTCCTCTGCTTCCTCTTTCTCTCACTTTCGCTGTCACGGCACCACCTGCACAACTCCCTTTCTCTCCCCCCCCCCTTTTGCCACCTACCACCAAACCTTGCCCTTTTATCAGGGGTACCAGCCCTTTTACCTACTCAGCCCTACTTCCTATCTTGCACAATCCTACTGCGCTGTCCCTTTTTCACCCTCCGCTTTTTCACACTACCCTGCTGTTGACCCAGATCTTGCCCACACTCACACCTAACCCCCAATGCACGTGCCCACCCTTTCACTCCACTCTCACACAATTCCTTCCACCAGATCACAACCCTTCATCCACCAATCACTCCGCTCACTCTCTCTCCCCTCCTCCTCCCGCCCCAACTCTCCTCCCAACACTAACCCTTGCAAATTTGCAAAAAAAAACCGTCGCGTTCGCGAAAACCACCACTTGCTCCTCGCAGACCGGAAACAGAAGTGTGTTTACAGGTAGTTTAACAAAAAAATTCGATTGAAAGAATCATATCTTCCCAGAGTATTGTATTTTTATTTGACTATTCGTTTTGAAATTTCAGTAGAGATCGTAAAATTTATTTTTCATTTATCAATATTATTTCCATTTTGAAGACATTATGAGGAAAAGAAATTACATTCACAAGTTTATTCACGAATTGTATAACTGAAGTGTGAGATGTCTTCATCATTCCATTTTCATGGCTTGCTTGATTGGTTTTGAAATATTACTGGGTAAAAATTCACTGCTTATATTACTGGAGAGAGAATTGAAGACATCAGTTGTAATTGAGAAACTATTTCTCACGAATTTATTCACTATTGAGATTCACAGTACAATATCCTGAATTCTTCCATCAGAAAAGACAAAAATAGCGATAAGGGTATTTTTTATACGAAATTTTTTTATGTTTTTATGTATTGATTTATTTTTTTGTTACTTCACAATGGCAATAAAATGTAACAATCCTACTTTCATTCCTAATCCCCTAAATGAAATATATTCCATGAACATTCATATATTGTAGAATTTTTATGAACATGGGAGATGTTTCGTTTTTTGTTTCAGATTGTTTGACTATTTGGTAAGTAATACGACTCCAGTTTTGTGGAGAGAGTGGGGATTGATTCAATAAAATTTTCATCATTCAAAATTTATCGCAATAAAAGAAAACAAACATTGTGAGAAACTCACAGCCGATAAATAAAGAATAATTTGATTTTACGTGTTTAATTTGATTTTATGCCATTGAGAATAAGTATTGAGATATACGAATTTAAGAAATTGGAGCAAAGATGGTTGAGTGGGCTATTGACTCCCGGGGGAATATTTTGAAATATTTTAGTTCCGCGACCGACCTAGGTGGGGCATTCTTTCCGCGAGTCAAATAGCGCTGTAAAGGTATTAAGTTTCGGGCAGCGGCTCAGTTTCGGCATTCAGGTGTGGTGAGGCGATCAAGAAGGCCTCACCCGGGTTCACCTACGATCCTCGCTGGAGGAGAGAAAAGTAACCAATTGTCAGCAGCCAGCGACATTAACTTTTAGTTAAAAGCGAGCTGTGGTCGAGCCATTGACAGCAGCCAGCGACACTAGTCTCTGACTATCGCGAGCTGTGGTAGAGCCAATTTGTCAGCAGCTACTAAGTTAGCATTTTTGCTACTTGTGTGCTGTGGTCGAGCCATATTAGTTTTTTTGTCAGCAGCCAGCTTAATTAGTCTCGGACTAAAAGCGAGCTGTGGTCGAGCCCTTGACAGCGACGGATAAAACTGTCGTGGTAGAGCCACGCGGGGTGGAACGTTCGCGAGGGGGAAATATTCTTTTGGGGTGGTAATTATTATTATTTGCGAAGTACTGAGGAGGGAAGCGAAGTCACTCGTTCGCCGACTCAGCCATCTTGAATTTGGGAATTTCGGTGGATATTCTGTTTTACCGACGGTCGTAAACTTGTTTTACCGACGGACGATCCAGAGGAGTACGATTCACGGACTGAAAGATTGGCAAGAATAAAGGTTAGAGTTTTAGAAAATTTGATTGTTGAGTTAATTCGTTCATTTAATTAATTGAATTTATTTAGTATTGAGATGGAGGAGAATAATTTCACATTGGACAAGAAGGGAAAGATTCTATGTCCTATGGTAATATTATTTGGTTTCTATGTAATTTTTAAATTGAGAAATGTATTGGCTATTTGTTTATTAATAAAATTTGTGATGAAAACTATAATCTCTATGATGACCTCAAGGCTACATGAATCGGCCTAAACTGAGAGATTCGTTTTCATGTTTAAATAGAACTTTTAAAATTTAACTGTCGGGTAAAATAATTCTCAAAAGGATCTCGTGGAATTATTCTGGGGAATCGTTGTGTTTAGTGAGGGTCGAATAAGCGTTAACGTTCAGTCCAAATTTTGGTAATCGAACTCCTCTGGTCTCTAGAGGGCTGACACTTTATCGCGAAATTGACGGAAAACTGAACACTCGATTCAAAATTTGTGGAAATCTGGTATCTGGGAAATCTGGGTAAAAATTTGGTAAGTCTGGAAAAATCTGGTAATAAATTGGAAAAGCTGGAAAAACGGGAGAACTGGGACAAATTTGAAATTTAGAGATAAGTTACTGGACGAACGGCGTTTTAAATTAATTTAAACCCTGGCAACTGAAGCACCGGAGCACAAAGGAAAATTTAAACAATTTCTTGAGCCAAAAGGTTCGTCACAGTAATTGGCGCCCGAACATTAGACTCGAAATAGAATCGTAAAATATTTTGATTTAAAAATAAAAAAAAAAATGGTTGGACAAAGGACTAAAATTTATCAAATGAGCAAATCGGAGCTCATTAGTGAATTAGAGAAGAAAGGACTTTCCACCGAAGGAAAAGTCCCAGAGTTAAAAAATAGATTATTGGAAGCTCTCAGTAACACAGGCTCCAAATCGAGTAAAATTAATACTCCGAGTCAAAGTAGTCGACCGAGTCGAACGGCGAGTATTGAGAGGTCAGTGGGTGTGAATAAGAGTAGGCAATCAGATGGAGGGATTCCTGAAGATGCTGTGGCTACTCCAAGGAAACTGAGACGCGCATTGGGTAGAACTGCGAACGCGAGTGCTGATGAAAAGAATTTATCAACCCCGCGAAAAGACACAAAAGCACCACCGGAAATTGACCCAGAAGTCATTGTGTAATACGCTGATGATGATGAGACCACGCTTATTAGAGTTCCTGGAGGTGGAAAAGCAAAGAAGATGGATGAAGAGTTCGTTGATCCGAATGACATACGGATGAAGAACCTCATCCAGCAACATCGTTCACGTCATAATAATGAGAAAACTGATAAGGAGAAGGAGTTGAGAGATCCAACTCAAGTCAGACACAGAGAAAATCGAGAACGTCACTCGAGGAGTCCGAGTGAGAGGGACTTTGGGGATGATTTAACAGGCATTTTCAAACATCCAGATGATATTCAGGACAGAGAGCAAAAAGAAGAGAATAGACTCTGGGAACAATACAAAAGACAGTTTGTTAACCAGAGGACCTATCAATCTGATACTCGAGAAGGTGGTCAGAATAAAAGTCACGTAGATTTCACAACTGAAGAGTTGGAGATCATGCGGGAACTTGAAATTAAAAAGATTAGGGACAAGAGTCGACGTGAAGAAGAAGGCCGTATGAGGGAAGCTAAGGTTCGAATGGAATATGAAGTGCGGGCTGAACTCAAACGGGAATACGAAGAAGAACTCCGCAGGGAGAGACAAATGATATTGGAGGAAGAGCATAGAAAATTCGAAAAGTATAAAGAGTATCAGAGAAAACTGGAAGAGGAAAAACTGAGTCGTGAGACAGAGCGTCTGAGGAAAAATTATCATGATGATGTTGAGTACAAAATGTCTACTAAACCGCCAACACCAGCTCCTAGACGAAAGTAACACTATTCTCCAGAGTACAGAGATAGGAGTCGTGATAATTACAGGGAAAGAAGTCCAGAGAAGGATAGATTCAGGGAGAGATACACTTATGATCGACGTGATGATCGGGGATGGTATCGATCTGAGGATCATGGGTCATACGGATGGGATGATGGGAAACATTTAAATCCGGTCGAATTAATCAGGAAATGGGGAATTACGTTTGACGGGGAGGAGAGTGTGCTTAATTATGTCGATAGGGTAGAAGAGTTAAGTCTCTGCTCTGGAATCCATAAGGACAGACTACTTAAGTATATCCCGGTAATGTTTAAGGGTGTAGCACTGCTTTGGTTTAGGAATAATTTCAAGTTCTGGAGAACTTGGAATGAATTCATTATTGACTTGAAAAAGGCCTACTTGCCCAAAGATTTCGAATTTCGGATGGAAGAAGAAATCAATGCAAGGACACAAAAGTCTGGGGAACGTATTCGTGTCTACGTCACTGAGTTATTAACACTCATGAGACGTCATGGATCAATGTCTGAGGAGAAGCAATTGTACTTTTTGTATCGGAACTTGGCAGAGCCATACAAAATGTACATTAAAAAGACTGCTGCAGTCAGCATTGATGCCATACTCAAAGATGGAACGGATTACGAGAATGACATTTTCAAATTGGATAAGGACAAACATCCAACACTGGAAATCCCATCAAAGAAAGAGAAAAAGAATCAGCCAAGAGAAAACCACAATAATCAGGAGAAAGATAAGAAAAAGAAATCGGTAAATGCAGTTGCTGCAGAGGAAAAATATGTCAGTAGGGAACGTTGTTGGAAATGCAGACAGAAACGACATGAGAATGGAGTGTGTAATAATCCACCAGTCAAGTTCTGCATGTTCTGTGGTATCCTGGGTAAGTGGACGACGGAATGTTCTTGTCCTAAACCTCGTTGGTGGACTGAGAGAAGACAAGCTGGAAGGGGTGCTGCTAGAAATAATCAGAATGCTGGTGCAGTGGTATCCAATTCTGCTCCTGTTTCTGGTCAGGCCTCAGCTACGTCTAATCAACAGGCACCAGTTGTGAATCAGAATGTTAATAGTCGTGTAAGTAATTTGGTACCAAGTGCTCCAGTAATTCCATGCACTAGTTCAGTACCTGATCAGTTGATGAAGCTCGACGATAATAGACCCTATCTAATTGTTGAAATCGATGGAGGAGAGTACCGAGCACTGGCTGATACTGGAACGGCCAGGTCGTACCTATCCACCGATACCTGGAAGGAGATACAACAGAGAAATCCTGATAGAAAATTGAGAACAACTGGTCATGTCGCTTCAGTAGCTGGAGAAAGACTTGTGCAAATTACTGGGAAGGTACAATTAGAGATTATGGTGGAGACAACGCCTGCAAATTGTAAGTTCTACGTAATGGATAACTTAGGAACACAGATAATTCTAGGGGTTGACGTGATGAAACAAATTGGACTCAAGATGAGTTTCGAACCTGATGAAGAAGCTAGCTCTGAGGTTTATCAGGTCTATGCAAGGTTCAGTTTGGGAATGATTCGCCAGGAGAATGATGATTCTGATGAAGATATTCATGAGGAAGAACCTGGGCGGACACCTGAAATTGAGCCTGGACTTGATGAAGACTCTGAAGCAAGTGATTGGACTGAGGACGAAAGACCAGTACTAATGATTAAAGATGATACCATTGACTACGCTCAGGCTTTTCAATGTATTCATGAAGAATTGAAGAAATTCAAGGATGTCCAGGGACCAACTCATCTTATCGAACATCACATTCGATTGAAACCTGGTACAGAGCCTATTAAATTTCGTTATACCCCCAAGAATCCTGCAATGATGAAGATAATGCACGACGAGGTGGATAAAATGTTAGCTGGTGGGGTTATTGAACCTTCGGAAAGCTCGTGGAATTCTCCGGTGGTACTTGTCAAGAAAAAGAATAAGGAATATAGATTTTGTATTGATTACTGCAAGATAAATGAGGTTACGGTCAAGGATGCGTACCCTTTACCACACGTGAATACGATGCTGGATAAATTGCGGAACGCGTACTACATTTCTGTCATTGATTTGAAAAATGGCTACTGGCAAGTACAGATGGCATTGGAGAGTCGACCGATAACAGTATTCACCGTACCTGGTAAAGGATTTTACCAGTTTAAGGTAATGCCGTTTGGTTTCACGTCGGCACCTGCCACGTTTCAGAGACTGCTAGATAAAGTCATCAAGCCTGAATTAGAAGCAAAAGCTGGAGCTTACCTGGATGAAATTTTCGTCATTGGGTCATCATTATCAGAGCATGTGAAGAATCTCTCGGAAGTTTTCGAAGCATTGAGAGAGGCAAAATTGCAAATTAATGTGGAGAAAAGTAAATTTCTGCAAGAGCAAACGCAATATCTGGGACACATTGTTGGTAGGCATGGCATTCACACTGACCCAGAAAAGGTCAAGGCCATAGTGGAAATGTCAGAGCCGCAGAATGTAAGGGAGTTAAGAAGGTTTATTGGCATGGTGTCGTGGTATCGGAGATTCGTATCGAATTGTTCAGCTACCATGATACCATTGACTAAACTCTTGTAGAAGGGACAGAAATGGCAGTGGGAGGATGATCAGAAAGAGGCTTTTGAAACTGTGAAAAATAGTTTGGTGGAAGCACCAGTACTAGTTCCTCCTAACTTCGAGCACAAGTTCATCTTGCAAACGGACGCGAGCAATGATGGTATTGGAGCTGTGCTGATCCAGAAGAATGGGGACAGAGAAAATGTCATTGCCTATGCGAGTCGAACACTGACGAGACCAGAGAAGAATTACTCCACCACTGAGACGGAATGCCTGGCAGTGGCGTGGGCGATTAAAACGATGAGGATGTATCTGGAGGGTTACTCTTTTGTAGTAATCACCGATCATCAATCTCTGAAATGGCTACTGAAACTGGACAATCCAATGGGGAGGATTGCTCGATGGAATTTATTCCTCCAGCAATTCGATTTTGAAATAGAGTATCGCAAGGGGATTCTGAACATAGTAGCGGATGCTCTGTCGAGGAATCCAATCGATTTGAACAACTCTGAGGACGAGGATGAAGAGGAAGAGGGAGTAGTATTGGCCATCGAACCTGAGGATCGTTGTGAGTGGTACCAGGGATTGATGAACAGGGTTAGAGAGCACCCTGAACGCTTCCCTGACTTTATGAGTAAGGATGACTTATTGTATAAGCATGTTTATCATGCACTAGATTTCACATCTCGTCAGGGAGAAGCGTGGAAGCTTTGCGTCCCTGAGTCCAAACGCCTCCGCGTTCTCCAGGAAAATCACGATATACCGACGGCAGGACACCTGGGGATAATGAAGACGATTGCTCGAGTTGCCCAGTCATATTTCTGGCCAGGAATGCAACGCGACATAAAAGATTATGTTAGACATTGTCAACGATGCCAGGAATTTAAGATACCCCAACAACAACCAGCGGGAAAAATGGGCACTACATACGCTTCCTACCCATGGGAAGTCGTATCAATCGACCTCGTCGGACCTATCACTAGATCCTCCTTAGGGAACACAGTATTACTAGTGATGCAGAATAAATACTCTAAATGGGTGGAAATAAAGCCCATGAGAACTGCTAAATCTGAGACAGTTGTTAAAATTCTGAAGGAAGCCATCATCCTACGTTTTGGGTGTCCTAGGGTATTAATCTCTGATAATGGAAGTCAGTTTACCAGTAGTGTCTTCAGGGATTGCTTGAGGGAATTTGGGATTGAACATCAGAGAACTCCACCATATGCTCCTCAATGCAATCCAGTGGAGCGAACTAATCGAGTCATTAAAACCATGATTTCCCAATACATCAACAAGAACCAGCGATCTTGGGATAAATACTTACCAGAGCTTATGTTTGCCTATAATTCAGCTGTCTATGAGACTACCCAGTGCACTCCGGCACTGCTGAATTTGGGAAGGGAACTGGAACAGCCTAAATCGTTGAGAAAAGAGTTGGAAGGTAATCGATCGGGTGTTCAGATTGACTTGGACGAGCGTTTGACGAGACTGAGAGATTTACAAGACTTCGTGAAAATCAATTCAGCTAGGGCTTTTACTAAACAGAGTAAATACTATGATCAGAAACGTAGGGATTGGGTGCCAGTGGTCGGCGAGCGGGTGGCAAAGAGGGAACATCCGTTGTCCTCGGCTGTTGACAACTTCTCTGCGAAACTTGCACCAAAATTCACTGGGGGTTACACTGTTAAATCTGTCATATCTCCAGCAGAGTATGAGATTGTCAGTGATGAGGGTATTGGATGTCTCGTCCACATCAAGGATTTAAAACCGGATTTTGAGTAGTTGAGTTAATTATCTGGCTGGCTGATTAAAAGATTCATTAGAAAATTGTTATAGACAGTATCGTATCATTATCGTTAATATTATTTTGTCGTTTTCTTTTTTTTGTGTTATTTTGGAATCAGTCAGGATGTCAGAATTTGAGGATATGTGGGCGATGCCGTTGACTCCAGAAGAGTAGGAGACCAGTAAGCAATTTGAGGGACCTAGGAGACTGATAGTACCTGAGGCTAAACCGATCAATGAGTTCAAACAGGGATCATTCGTTAGACAGCAAGAGATCAAATATGACAAAAGATTATTCGAGGAGATCGATCAAGTAGTTAGTGATGTTGAGAGCAGACAGGGAGTGATCGACGTAGTTATACCATTGCCAGTACCTGAGATTCGCATTAGTGATAATTATCCTCGTAGGACTCCTAGCGAACCCATCAACAAACCTAGGTTAAAAAGGAGAGCCGACTTAGAAAGGGAAATGGAAGGAAGGGTTGTTCAGGAGTTACCACCAAGGTTACTGTGGCCAATGCCTGAACAGAGAAGAAAGAAGATGAGAGAATACGCGGACGAGATAGGTTTTCCCTTGTTGAGACAAAACTATCCATTCTTTCTGGGGGAGAGATCTGATCCTCGTTTGACCCACTACACTAGTGTTAGTAGGAGAAGAAGATAGGGTAATCAACCTGGAGTATTTGAAGCCTTATGATAATAATATATTGTTTAGACAGAAGTCTGAGAGAAGTAGGAGACCTCCTTCGGTACAGAGTTGGGGAGGGCCATCTATAGTTGGGGATAATGAGTCGATGAGATCATTTTCGGGGTACGAGATGTCGCAGGATACGTGTCGATCGTTGTCAAGAATGTCATCGGTTAGTGAGATGATCGATTTTGAGGGTCCAGGGTTCGAATCCGCAATTGGGGGAAATGCCCGAAGATTTGCTGAGGAGTACATATCTCACGGGGAAAATAGAGAATTCCTAAATTATTGGCAGGGAAGAGATCTTAATTATAATGAGTACTGTGAGGCGGACTGGGACGAGTTGGAGGATGGGGAAATCCGGGACGAACCTGAGTTGCCTGATTTTTGCTATCCAATCCAACCCAAGAATCAACCCGGTGGAGAAGCTGTTGATGTGCCTTGGGAGATGGCATACAAGAGAAGGAGGAATCGTGGGAGGAAACGCAAAATAGTTAGAGATGGCACTGTAGAGCTTGTTAAGAAGTTTGCTCATAAGACAGTGTATAAGAAGCTGCCATGACTGAAAGTCTAGTTTATAAAAGATTTTGATACTTTGTTTTTTTTTTGAGAAGATGTACCTTTGTTTAGTTTATAAGAGATTTTGATATAGCATCTTTTAGGGAAATCAGCCAAGTGCAACCCAAAAGACTGAAACAAACTGAGATTTAGAATAACAAGCATTATTATTATGTAATTGAAAAGTATTTTTGAAAAATAAATGAGTGGAACTCATTTCTTTTTTTTTGAAGAAGGGGGAGAGTGTGAGGCACTCACAGCCGATAAATAAAGAATAATTTGATTTTACGTTTTTAATTTGATTTTATGCAATTGAGAATAAGTATTGAGATATACGAATTTAAGAAATTGGAGCAAAGATGGTTGAGTGGGCTATTGACTCCCGGGGGAATATTTTGAAATATTTTAGTTCCGCGACCGACCTAGGTGGCGCATTCTTTCCGCGAGTCAAATAGCGCTGTAAAGGTATTAAGTTTCGGGCAGCGGCTCAGTTTCGGCATTCAGGTGTGGTGAGGCGATCAAGAAGGCCTCACCCGGGTTCACCTACGATCCTCGCCGGAGGAGAGAAAAGTAACCAATTGTCAGCAGCCAGCGACATTAACTTTTAGTTAAAAGCGAGCTGTGGTCGAGCCATTGACAGCAGCCAGCGACACTAGTCTCTGACTATCGCGAGCTGTGGTAGAGCCAATTTGTCAGCAGCTACTAAATTAGCATTTTTGCTACTTGTGTGCTGTGGTCGAGCCATATTAGTTTTTTTGTCAGCAGCCAGCTTAATTAGTCTTGGACTAAAAGCGAGCTGTGGTCGAGCCCTTGACAGCGACGGATAAAACTGTCTTGGTAGAGCCACGCGGGGTGGAACGTTCGCGAGGGGAAAATATTCTTTTGGGGTGGTAATTATTATTATTTGCGAAGTACTGAGGAGCGGAGCGAAGTCACTCGTTCGCCGACTCAGCCATCTTGAATTTGGGAATTTCGGTGGATATTCTGTTTTACCGACGGTCGTGAACTTGTTTTACCGACGGACGATCCAGAGGAGTACGATTCACGGACTGAACGATTGGCGCGAATAAAGGTTAGAGTTTTAGAAAATTTGATTGTTGAGTTAATTGGTTCATTTAATTAATTGAATTTATTTAGTATTGAGATGGAGGAGAATAATTTCACATTGGACAAGAAGGGAAAGATTCTATGTACTATGGTAATATTATTTGGTTTCTATGTAATTTTTAAATTGAGAAATGTATTGGCTATTTGTTTATTAATAAAATTTGTGATGAAAACTATAATCTCTATGATGATCTCAAGGCTACATGAATCGGCCTAAACTGAGAGATTCGTTTTCATGTTTAAATAGAACTTTTAAAATTTAACTGTCGGGTAAAATAATTCTCAAGAGGATCTCGTGGAATTATTCTGGGGAATCGTTGTGTTTAGTGAGGGTCGAATAAACGTTAACGTTCAGTCCAAATTTTGGTAATCGAACTCTTCTGGTCTCTGGGGGGCTGACACTTTATCGCGAAATTGACGGAAAACTGAACACTCGATTCAAAATTTGTGGAAATCTGGTATCTGGGAAATCTGGGTAAAAATTTGGTAAGTCTGGAAAAATCTGGTAATAAATTGGAAAAGCTGGAAAAACGGGAGAACTGGGACAAATTTGAAATTTAGAGATAAGTTACTGGACGAACGGCGTTTTAAATTAATTTAAACCCTGGCAACTGAAGCACCGGAGCACAAAGGAAAATTTAAACAATTTCTTGAGCCAACAGGTTCGTCACAACATTCAATATTTTGATTCCAATAAAGAATTTATTCAACGCATTTTTCAAATAGAACAATATTAATTCCCAAAATACACTTTTTCGATTAAAATGGTATGGTTTGAGGATTATATTCATAAATATTTTCAATCATCGTCCAGCGTCACAAACTCGCACTTGTTGAATATCTTATCAATGAAGTGAAGGAATAAATTCCCTTCCTTTGCGAGGGTTTTGTAGGCTGTTAATTCATCCTCATCATCCAAGAAAGCGGTTGACATTCGTTCTGGGAGCCAAATCTGGAAACTGTCATCCAACCATGCCACCATCTTCGCACCATAACAGGTTTTCACCTCCTTGAAACCGTTGACTTGATAGAGTTTTTGGATCTCCAGTTCTGATATTTTCTTCGTTGGGAGCAAATGCTCCGTACAACAAATGTTGTTCATTTTGTCGCACGTGAAGTTCTTCTTCCTCTTTGTAGTCATTGCATCTAGGGAGAATGCAGATTGAAAACTAACTACTGTTGATATTTTTGAAAACATGGACGAAAAAATGTTGATAGAAGAACCTAGCGAATTCGCTAGGAAAAATGCTATTCGATTTCAATTGAACTTTACTTTTTTCACTGTTTCTATGAAAATGTTCTATTGATATATTTCTATTGATATAAAATCTTATTGATTTTTTCTATATAATATTTTCCATTGAACATTTTAATACAAACAGTCAAAAAACTAATGGAAAGTTCAATGGAAATGCAATGGAATTGTCTAGCGGATCCGCAAGGTTTTTCTATTAAATTTTGTATCTATGAATACTTGGAGATATTTGCAATGTAGTATCGCAGGCCTTACTAGGTTTTGGAAATTGCCTCTTGGGGGTGATTTTCTTTCCAATATGCTCTTCTTGTGACTTCGCTAGATTCAATCTCTTCAAGAGTCGCTAAAGTACTGAGCTGTCGCCGGGAGCGGTCGTATTTAAAGGCCCAGGGGGTGTTCAAGTATGTTCCACTCAAGGTCGCTTCGATGATGAGTCACTGAGTAGAATTATTCCTTCCTTATGGAATGCTCTTGAATGGAAGCGAGTACAACAATGAATTTCAAAATATCATCAGAAAGAATTTCATAATTTTATCGCGTTCTGAACTTAATTTGTGAATACATCTAGCCATGATAGAGAAACCTATGTTTTTACCCTTAGGGAGAATATTCTCTCTTGTTGAACAATTTGTGCAACAAATGAGTTTCGAGGTTGACCTCTGAATTAGCCTTGAAACTTGTTTACTGCATAAATTATTCATTAATCGAGAACATTCTTCGGGCGATAGATATTTTTTTCAATTCCTTCTGATGCATCAGAATATTCTCGATTGCTGAACAATTTGCGCAACAAATGAATTTCAAGGTTGACCTCGGAATCAGCCTTGAAAGTTGTTTACTGCACAAATTATTCATCAATCGAGAACATTCTTCGGGTGATAGATATTTTTTTCAATTCCTTGTGATGCATCAGAATATTCTCGATTGCTGAACAATTTGCGCAACAAATGAATTTCAAGGTTGACCACGGACTCAGCTTTTGGAAATAATAATAATTTCGGAATAAGGAAAAATATCATAGTTAAATACCAATGGAATCATACGATTCCAATGGTACATAAACCGATCGTCTTACATCCGGTAAGACGATGGAAAAATTAATTTGAGATGTGATTCATACCACACGGGTGGTATGAACCCGCGTTGCCGAGGGCCTTATCGCCCTGGTTTCGGGTTGCTGTTGCGAGGCAGTCCACCTCGTAACAGTCCCACCATTGTCCAATACCTCCCTCCCCTCACCGCGCTCTTCACACCTAACTACGCATCTTATTTTTCCCTCCTCCCCACGCTCCTCTCGCCGCGAAACAATTCACGCGCGCTTGTTCCCCTATTCCCTCTTCTCCGCGCCCCTCTTACCGACAAACGCGACCACGCTGGCTAAACCAATTG